TCTTTAGTTTGTTTGTTTTTTGTTTAACGCCGCACTCGGCAATATTCCAGCTACATTCCAGCTACAAAATGATATGATTGTGTATGCTGCCATGACTTCCACAAAAATAAGGGTCATCGGCACTGGAGCCTGTCTTGGGATGATGACTAATACCACCAGGTTGCCAGTATTTATCTATTCAAAGGATATGACCTTCACCTTTTTGCCCTACTTATAGGGTAATTCTTGCAAAGGATGCATTGACCAACTGAATGACATCAGTGAACTTAAATGTATCGTTGCAGTGAAACCAGCTGAGTTTACAGTGAGAATAATATAGTAAACATTTGCTAAGGACCAAAAGAGTTGTCTTTAGTTTGTTTGTTTTTTGTTTAACGCCGCACTCGGCAATATTCCAGCTATATGACGTCGGTCTGTAAATAATCGAGTCTGGACCAGACAATCCAGTGATTAATATCATGAGCATCGATCCACGCAATTTGGATCAATGTCATGCATCAACCAAGTCAGCGAGCCTGACCACCCTATCCCGTTAGTCGCCTCCTACAACAAGCGGCTTCCCCCCTAGATCTCATGTCTATAAATTAAGGATTGTACTTGCTAGTGTGTTTGCGCGCTAAAGTTTCTATTCATTCACTATGTGGTTTCAATGATTGGGATTAATTATCTCCCTTATCACCCTGAGTCAAATGTTGATGATGCAACACGAAGATACAGATGAAGCTGGTCAGAGTAATTAACTCCATTACCAGATGATGTACATGTGTGTTAGTTCAAACGCACACTTGACATTTCGTTTATTTTAAATTAAAATAAAACAGGAACGAGTTTGTTCGGAGAGCTGACATTTCTCCCTTCAGGTTGAAGAATTCCACTTTACCCGCCGGCTCCGGGTGCTGTCAAATGCCAGATCGGTCACGTTAAGTTTGGTTCAGGAGTTCACACGTTGTTTTGTAACAACCTGTCTTACCTGGGTCATTACAGTCATAGCGTAGAGACATGACCAGAAGGAGTTAGAGTCTAATCGTTATCAGGTATATTTATAACTTACCATTACTTTAGAAACTGTAACCACATATACAACAAAATAGTTGAAAGGGTAACACATACACACACAGACTATATATATATATGTGTGTGTGTGTGTGTGTGTGTGTGTGTGTGTGCGTGCGTGCGTGCGTACATGCGTGCGCGCGCGATGCAGAGTGTAAAATGTAACTTTGGTATAAAAAAATTAAATTAAATGCCTTAATATATAGTTGAGTCACTTGACAAACTAACTGAAACATCTGTCCATTTATTTGACAAATTGACTAAAATTATTAAGAGCTTCAAAAGGGCTTAGAAACACCACCATAGACTAATGATATATAATATATACTTTGAATTGGTTTTTTATCCTAATATTTCTAGTTACTGGTTGGTGAAATTCATCATCAAAATGTTCGGTATCATGATAAGATATATAGACAGATTTGTCAGTCAATTTGTGAAATGACATTTTTTTTAATATGTGAATATATACGTGAATTGCCTTAGTGGCAATTTCAGTTATTTTACACTGTCTGATTTTACACATTAAGGTTTGTTATCGGCCGCACTCACTCATAGCCAGTCTTGCACCATGTTCTTATATGCGGATAGATATTCAAATATCAAAGGTCAAGTAGAGACTACTTTCACTGCTTATCAACAAACATGGCCTCGCCCTTGTACTTCGGCGATCCAGTCAGAATTAACCATCGGGAATCTGGAGAAACTACTGGAATAATTTTTTATCATTATGAAAAGTATAGTCTAATATACTGAAAATCAGTGTCTAACTGTGACGTAGCTAAGGCGTTTTACAAGTTTTGGCAACTTTGGAAACATAAATTGCGAAACAATTTAGCGAGGGAACTAGCCAAGCGGGATCACTTTCCATAGCTGTGCTTGTAGACCTCTGGGGCTTGGAACATTTTCCACAATTTAAAACAGTTGGATTTGTTCAAAGTATATATATACACGTGAATTGCCTTTGTGACAATTTCAGTTAGTTTACACATTGACTACAAACTAATAAGGATGTTTATTATCGGCCGCACTCGCCCACAGCCATTTGACAGACCAGACAAGCCAAGTCTCGCAACATGTTCTTATCATGTGCCCTGTCCCATATTGTTGGGTACCACGACACGCAACCAAGGACCCAATTTTATCACCCGATCCATTTAGTGTTCCTTATGACCAGCATATGTTGGTGAGGACTAGCTACTTCTATCCTGGAATCACCAACCATATTAGATAAAAAGGAGCATATAATTGCTTCATGTTGTTATTGTAGGAGAGAAGGTAATAATTGTATTTGTTTGTTTGTTAGTTTGTTGTTTAACGCCGCACTCGGAAATATTCCCACTATATGACGGCGATCTGTAAAATAATCGAGTCTGGACCAGACAATCCAGTGATTGACATCATGAGCATCGATCCACGTAATTGGGATCGATGACATGTATCAACCAAGTCAGCGAGTCTGACCACCCTATCCCGTTAGTTGCCTTTTACGGCAAGTATGGGTTTGCTGAAGACATATTCTACCCTGGAATCTTCACGGGTCTGATAATTGTATGATATCAAATGCCAGCGTGACCAAAAGACTGTAAAAGAGTGAGTGAGTGAGTGAGTTGGGTTTTACGCCGCTTTTAACAGTATTCCAGTTATATCACGGCGTGTCAGCTTAATGTGGGAGGAAAGCCCGAAGTGATGCAGGTCTCAGACGTTTACCACTTCGGTGAAACCCACGAGCACGGGTATGGTGCTGACAAACCTAGAAACATAATCGGGGCGAACCGGGATTCGAACCCACAATCATAGGTTTCTGGCGTGCCCAAGGGACGCAACTCTGCACAGCGAATCGCGGCGCCTTAGACGACTGGGCCACCCGTGCCCCCCTGTAAAAGATGGTACTTGTTGTTACCTTGCCTTGCGCTCGGCGTAAATGGGCTAAAACAAAGACTGGTCGGCTCGGAGTCAGTGTACTGTTTCTGAGTGGGATATTCATGTTAAAATGCTGCATGGTATCTAAGTGGGCTAGCACTGTAAAATCTGACTTTATCTGGATTAGTACAAGTATCTACACACATATACAGACACACGTGCATGCACTTCGCTATATAGAAGTGCAATACTATTGGACGCTTTGTTAAACCCCATTTCACCTCGCCTCTAATGACAATTAATACTAACCATATTATATCACACAATAGTCATGTATGGGTCGCATACATGTACATTCTTTTCTTTGTCGTGAGAGGTGACTAACGGGATCGGGTGGTCAGGCTCGCTGACTTGGTTGATGCATGTCATCGTATCCCAATTGCGTGGATTGATGCTCATGATTTCAGTGATCTGGATTAGCTGGTCCAGACTCGATTATTTACAGTCCTCCGTCATATAGCTGAAATAGTGAGTGCGGCGTTAAACAACAAACAAACAAATCCATGTATTTTCATTGCAGAAAACAAGCTATGAAGTATACCATCCTATTGCCTCTGTTACTGTTGATGTCAGCGGATCATCTCCATGGACTTGGCGAGCATGAGGAATGTAGGTAGAGATGAGCCCTGTAGATTGGGGGAAATAGTATCAGTGATTCTTTATATATGTCTGCTTTGCTCCGTGCTGATTGGCTGGTTCGTTTCAATTGATCCACTGGTTGTTTCTCCACTTACTGAAATCGAAAAACCTCCATTTTTGTACATTTTCAAAGAACAAAGACTCTGGTTAATATAAAGAATTCTCGGCCCATCGTTCATAACGTTAAATGTTACTCGTCAATGCTCGGAAATTACAGAACGAATTCACTTGGAAAAACATCCGTAATTCCTCGAAGATCGTATGCTTTTCTGTAATTGGGCCAACCGATGAATTACTGACGCAGTGTACATTCACTTTTCAAGGTTTCCATATGAGTAAGTGAGTGAGTGAGATGGGTTTTATCGCAGCTTTTAACAGTATTCCAGTTATACCACGGCGTATTTAATAAACGGGTAAGGAAACAGCGATTTGCGGCGACACCCGTGCCCCAGTTTAAAGATGAACAAGACTGATTATTTTACGTACAGGTATTCTAGTTATTCTAGCTAGAACACAATTGAAGGTATTTTTCGAAATGTAAAAGCATTTGGTAATATGGTTTATCTGGAATGACAGTGGGTGTTATGGTGTTGATGTGACCTCCCACAATTAAATTGATACAACATTCTAAACGAGGTTTTAATAAATACCCACATCCCCTTTCAAACAAAGTTTATTTTAAAGAAAGATAGAAATAATACAGATATAAGTGTTGGGTACATTTTGATAAGTATTTAAATAACACTCAGGCACACTATTAGACACTATTAGTTGAAATGTGTGTTTACTATTCAAAAGAATAATCATAATATCTACAATTATCCATACGTAAATATCTAAGACCTAAACATTCACACATTCGATTTCAACTTCGTCAAATATGTTTAAATTTCCCTTCCTGCGAAATATGTTTGTCGTATTAATGACATGGCTTACGTTTGATAAATCAACTTTTTTGATAGTGCTTCGTCTGTCATGTATCTAAATATTGTTCCCAGAAGATAACTGTGACAGATAGCAATAGTTACTGTTCCAATTCGATAGTCAAGTTTGTTTGTTGTTTAACGCCGCACTCAGCAATGTTTCAGCTGTATAACGGCGGCCCGTAAATAATCAAGTCTGGGCCAGACAATCCAGTGATTGCTATCATGAGCACCGATCCACGCATTTGGGATACGATTACATGCATCAACCAAGTCAGCGAACCTGACCACCCGATCCCGTTAGTCGCCTCTTACGACAAGCATAGTCGCCTTTTACGGCAAGCATGGGTTGCTGAAGACCTATCCAAACCTGGATCTTCACAGGTACTTTGGTTAGTGGGTATACACATGCATGCAGTTTAGCACAAATCCAAAACGTAGAAGGATGCAATAAATGAACCAATGGCTTGTAAGCAATCTGTTTGTATCATCAGTAAAAGAAGGTTCTGTTGTATCGTTGTAGGTTTACACGACAACAAGGAATGGGTGAAAGTTCTAGAAACTGCCAAAGATGGGACCGTGGTTTCTGGAAGAAAAGAGGCTTTACAGGAGTCGGTAAAGCACGGCGCAAGGATAAAATTTGGCACTAACGATTATTTTGCCGAAGTTGACAACTGTCAGAACATAAATGGTGATGTATGCTGCGAGGCACTAATGCATATCGTAAAATCTGGATGGAATGGATTTCAAGAAAAAGCCTATTGGTGGATGACCAATATTTGCACGACAGGCAACTGGCACATGATCAGATATTACGTTGGAAGCACCTTTCTGTCTGAGTCACGGCTCACATCTGCCTTTAAGTGGTTTGTTTTGAAAACGAACTACCAACAACCTGTTTACTCTACCTTTGCAAATGGAACTGTTAAGTTGGGTAGTGTAGACACGTTTCTTTCAGCTGTTCTGCAAGGAAAGTCGATTTCTGTGTCTCAACAGCAGAATGTTGGCTATCCTGTGCAAAATATTGAGATATTCAACACAGGGTCTGATGCGAAAGCCATGGTAAGCGCTGAACATATCTGGAGCGTCAGTCAGAGAGTCGCAGGAAACCATCTGGAGTTTCAAGGCAATGCCTACTGGTGGTTCTTGATCCTCAACACAGCTGGTACTCGGGATATGTCCAGGTGGAGTGTGGGCTCTCACACACCAAGAGGCCAGTCTCGGGATAAAGTGGACACTGACTGGTTTGTGGATCCTTGTTGGGTTCCAGTTCATACCTATAGCGGTCTGGGCTCAGATTCATTGTGGACGAGGAACATCCTGAAAATTCTCATCGAAGCTGGGCACAATGATCGTGTGAAGTTCGGTGATACGATCGTTGGAGCAGAGAGCATACGGCTCACAGAGAAGCACGTGGCAGTCCAAAGTATGTCTGCATTGGCTAGAGCTGACTCCAAAACGTTTGAGAGTGACTTGAACTGGGAGTTTAGAGTTCTGGGAACGACTGGAGCTGTTCGAACATATCGCCCCCTCGTCGGATCATCTTCAGCCAGCCCACTGGGCTACACAATTGACAGACAGGAGGTGACTTAGTACGTTGACACTAGGAAATGGCGTTTATTGTTTCACTTGTTGACGGATGGCAAAGTCGTTAAAGGGTCGGCCTTCGATGTCAGAAATGCTGTCGAAGACGGAGCGGACATCAGAGTAGCGTTCAAACTGCCCGACGATCCCGGATTCCGGTATCACAAAGCAGACAATCTTGCCTTAGGACCCACTCCAAATGTTGCAGCACAGATTGTTCGGGCACTGAGAGATAACCAGACATCCTGTGATGAGTTTGAGCTTGACCAGTCACCACAATGGTCCTTCAAGCTGATCACAACAACTGGGTTTGTTCTCACTTCAAACTGGGTTGTTGGAGAACACGTCAACAAAGGTCGCACGAGTGAACGCGCTGAAATACAGTGGTTTGCAAGTGTTTAAAGAGCCTCCACCACCCCCACCCCATCTCCAGACCATAAAAACGCACAACCAAAAAAATCTTCTCTGCAGTGTAACGTCGTTCCATCCTTCGACTCCAAGAACTGTCCAAGAACTATCCACAGTAAAGATGTTACATGTAATTTTAATTTTCGGAAATGTTAATTGTTAGTGTATCTGAATCACGTTGTATAATCTAATCTGACTATGCAATTGATGTTTATGAATGAATAAATATTTGAATGCGCTCAATGTTGCGTCTCTATGGTCATATAGTTATCGTTAAGTCTATTGATGACCGAGTAGTGATGAGCGTCAGTTAAAAGCTGCAAGAAATGCCAATCATGATGTACGGTAAAAACACGATTAGGATACTAAATTGATTTAAAGTGGTATATGCTTTTAGTCATGCTATTACAGCTACGATTTATGCAGCTCCGTAGGGACCCGGGTAAGCGCAGGCCCTCGCAGTGGCTCGAACCCTTTTGCTTGTTAGTGTCGATTAAAATTGGATCAGGTGGTCAAGCACGGCAACTTGAAGGACTGCGTGTAAACGTACCCGATGATGTGGGATATTACTCATATCAACCACTGGTGTGCGTTGCCGGGATAATTCGATAATTAACAACCCTCCATGATAAAGCTGGAAAAGTGCCGACTGTGGCGTGAAACATCCACATGGATAAATATGACAAATCCATTAAAGTCATCCATCCGAGATTTATATGAAGCATTTCTGTTTTATCCTCGGTTATGTAGCAGAGTCCTGGTCCATTTGTGGCCTGCTGGACGATGCGCACACATGTTTGTGTGTTGTTGTTTTTGCTTAAAGCCGCCTTCATCAATATTACAGCTATATGCCGGAGATCTGTAAATAATCGAATCTGGATCAGACAATTCAGTGATTGACATCATGAGCATCGATCTACGCATTCGGTATAAGATGACATGCATCAACCAAGTCAGCGAGCCTGACCACCCGATCCTGTTAGTGGTCTCTTACGACGAACATGGGTTGCTGAAGACCAATTCTGACCCGGAATCTTCACGGGAGGCGCGCACATGTAATATGAATATTTGTTTAAATCAGGAATGACGACGTAATTCATGATGCCTTTTCTTGAAGCATCCACCCCAAGCCTTGGGGGTTAGCATCTGTGCGTCCCATGCTTCGCCGACATCATAACGCAATACAAATGATTAGGAATTGGCTGGGTGTATTTTATGAGGGTGGTCAGTGAGTGAGTATGGTTTTACGCCGCTTTTAGCAATATTCCAACAATATCACGGCGGGGGACACCAGATATGGGCTTCACACATTGTACTCATGTCGGGAATCGAGCCCTGGTCTTCGGCGTGACAAGCGAACGCTTTAAACACTAGGCTACCCGACCGCCCCGGTGTATTTTATGGGTACAAAATGCCCCAACAGCGTCGGCCTCCAATAGCCCCTGACAGCCACGTCGAACTCCTGGCCTTCATGTAGCAAAACTGTTGTTGTTGAAAGGTGGCTATCTGTCGCCTTAACACTGGACGCCTCGGACAGAGGTGGCTCGTCAGCCATGGTTGGCTGCTCTTCTAGAAGAAAAACTCTCATTCCAAACATCCGCTGCCTTCTAAACTCCCACAACAAATCCCGGGTCGGTGTCTTTCAGGCGGTTGTCTTCAACACCCTTCCGTCAGTTCCTGCAACATCTCCAATGCCTATGGATTTTTTTCACCCGAAGGAGTGTTGGGTGGCAGGGCTGCTGAATTGGGCACCCTGTTCCTACAGCGCCGATTTTGGTGGCTCGGCCACGTCTGTCGCATGGAGGACGGGATGATCCTGGACGGCGAGTCCTCAAAAGCGGGTCTTGACGGCGACAAGCATGGACCTTTCGAGATTGGTGGAACTTGCCGCGCACCGTGGACAATGGAGCCAAGCAGATGACTCAAGAGAGGCGAGGCTAAGCTGCAGCAATCGGCTTGGGGAAAAGCGGAACCGGCCGAACAACAGCCAGCGTACAACTCCTGTAGACTCCATGAAGAAGCGCAGCCACTGCAACATGGACTACCGTTCCCAAGTAGGCCTGTACAGTCACAAGAGGCGCTGCTTTGCCAATGGCAACTGACTGTCCTTCTGCCCCGCAGCAGATCCAGTTAGTTTCTAAGGCGCTGTTACGTATATATTTTCTAACTATTATGATAATTTGATCTCAGTTGCCTATTTGATCACCTTATGGTTGCACTACTTTCTTGTATAAACTTGTCTATACCAACTCCGATAACTACAAAGTATGATACAATGAGTTTAGCCAACTGACTCACGTGTCATAATGACTTGCTGCTCTAACATGACATCCTATTGAAATGTTATTATTCCGCTGTGGACTGACTATAAATGAATATCTTCAATATGTTTGCAGCTCACCCGAGCATCCGAATAATGTGACCTGATCCCCAGTGTAAACCCTTGTGGATATTGCATCCGACAGCTAGATTATTTTTAATACGTTTTATGTGTTTAAGCCAGAATTATTGGGGGCGGTCGGGTAGCCTAGTGAATAAAGCGTTCGCTCGTCACACCGAAGACCCGGGTTCGATTCCCGACATGGGTACAATATGTGAAGCCAATTTCTGGTGTCGCTGCCGTACGCGTGATGTTACATGAATATTGCTAAAAGTGGCATAAAACCATACTCACTCACTCACTCATAATTCTTGCTGAATTATTATGTTACCTGTTCTTTTCTCAACCCCGTGATTATTACCAATAAACGTCTAGAGTGACTGATATATTTCCTAAAAAACACGGTCCCGTATCTCCTGTCACGTTCTATATACTGAGAAATGTACTTGCTAGTGTGTTTGACCGCTAAAGTTTCTATTCATTCACTATGTGGTTTCAAGGATGGAGATTAATTATCTCCCTTATCAGCTTGGCCCAAATGTTGAGTCAAATGCTGATGATGCAACACGACGATACAGAACAAGCTGGTCAGAGGAATTAACTCCATTACCAGATGATGTACTTGTGTGTTAATTCAAACGCACACTTGACATTTCGTTCATTTCAAATGAAAATGAAACAGGAACGAGTTTGTTCGGAGAGCTGACATTTCTCCCTTCAGGTTGAGGAATTCCTCTTTACCCGCCGGCTCCGGGTGCTGTCAAATGTCAGATCGTTGACGTTAAGTCTGATTCAGGAGTTTACACGTTGTTTTGTAACAACATGTCTTACCTGGGTCATTACAATCATAGCGTAGAGACATGACCAGGAGTTGAGGAGTTATAGTCTAATCGTTTTCAGGTATGTTTATACCTTACCATTACTTTAGAAACTGTAACCACATAACCATACATCTTTTATGTTTGTGGGCCATGCGATATATACAACAAAATAGTTGAAAGGGTAACACATACACACAGAGACTATATATATGTGTGTGTGTATGTGTGTGCGTGCGCGTGCGCGTGTGTGAGGCAGTGTGTAAAATGTAATTTTAACAACTTTGATAATGTATAATATATACATTGACTTGTTTTGTTTTTTATCCTAATATTTCCAGTCACTGGTTTGTGAAATTCATCATCAAAATGTTTGGGATTCGGTATCATGATAAGATATATAGACAGATTTGTCAGTCAATTTGTGAAATAACTAAAACATTAAGACATTTTTTTATATAATGTCTCTGTGTGAATATATACGTGAATTGCCTTAGTGGCAATTTCAGTTATTTTACACTGACTGATTTTACACATTGACTTCAAACTAATAAGGATGTTTGTTTTCGGCTGTACTCACCCATAGCCAGTTGACAGACCAGGCGAGTCAAGTTTTGCAACATGTTCTTATATGCGGATAGATATGCAAATATCAAAGGTCAAGTAGGGACTACTCTCACACCTATCAACAAACATGGCCTCGCCCTTGTCATTCGGCGATCCAGTCAGAATTAACCATCGGGAATCTGGAGAAACTACTGGAATTATTGCTATCATTATGAAAAGTATAGTCTAATACACTGAAAATCAGTATCCAACTGTGACGTAGCTTAGGCATTTTACATGTTTGGGCAACTTTGGAGACATAAATTGTGAAACAATTTAGCGAGGGCACTAGCCAAGCGGGATCACTTTCCATAGCTGTGCTTGTAGACCTCTGTGGCTTGGAACATTTTCAACAAATTAAAACATTTGGATTTGGTCGAAATATGTTCGAATTGTTACCTTGTTTCGTTTTGTTGCTGTGTGTACATCTGACTGCACATCGTAACGTTACGACAAGACTGGCCGTCTTACTGTGGCCGTGACGTTTCAGAGGCCAGGATAAGAGTAGCTTCCCTTTGATAAAGTATAGTTACTCTGTCAGACAGGCCGTTGGATTACCGCGAAAGGCAAGAAAAAACAATTTGTGTAGGCAATTGTTGTTTTGCATATATGTAGTTACGTCACTGTATAAGAAATAGGTATCAGTTGGAACTGTATTGGCTACTGTCACTGCCCGACTGACATATCACGCACACTCCGACGTAATATATATTAATTCGCACATTCCAGGAAAATTGTAATGTTTAGGTAGTGTTTGTGAGAGATGGCAAGAGATTTTCGAGCACAGAATTGAAGAATGACATTTATATGATAAAGAGGTTATCACGCTTTTGTGTTTGGGGATGGTAAATATCAAAGGCTCGCTAAATACAATATTTATTCCAATTACAGGACTCTCGTGATACCCTCTATATATTGTCCAAGGACACCCACATCATTATTGGGATCGGGTGGCC